TTTATAAATATGCCATAGCTTTTCAGTGGGCATATTTTGTTAGATTTAAATAAATATACATCTGCAATACTTCAAGAAGTGTAAGGAACATTTCGTTGTTAAGAGAATGCTTTATGTTATATAATGCTACGTCCCAAACCCTTAAAGGCGAGTAACGTAATGAGAGAGAGATGATTTTGCTCAATTTTCGGTCTACCGGCTTTTAAAATGTCGTGCTCTACTCAGTAAGAGGGGGCATGTAGTGTTAAGAAAGAAAAGAAAAGGAATCTCGTCTTGCAATCGTCTGTTATACTCATCTCTTATACTTAAGACAATCAGTGACGTTAATGCAGACAACTTTTACCTCAGACGCTGGGTCTATTGAGATTTAGAACTGATATATATATAGGAATGAGGACTAGAACGAGCATTTGGGAGAGAATTGAAGATTTGAGGCACCTGGTGGTCACCGTTCAGACCACTCAGATGTTTGGGGAATTTGAGAAATTCATAAGTACCCGCCTGAGAAGCCCTGGCGCCTAGGGACGTCCAGGCGGACAATGACAAGAGATTTGCACATTAAATCAATATAGCTTCATTTTCTGAGGTTGGTAGGTAAACACTGAAATTTCTTTAGCTGATACTACATGCTCTCATCTATTATCTGATCTAGATTTGTTATGCATATGACATCCTTATCTAACAGCTTATCTAAATTTCAATAAGAAAACAATATAAATAATACTATTTTGTTTCACTGTCAGTAAAAATTATGATCCCTCATTTATTTCCAGGTATTTAAAGTGTTGTTTACATATAGCTTATTAAAAGTATTGCCTTTTTTATTTAAAATACTTTTTTTGTTAGAATAAATTTTGCATGCATCATAAGATCATGGATACATTTCCTACACAAAGGTATGAAACAAAGATTGAAACTTTTGACACATGCATGATCGATGCTGCAAATCAACAACGAGATATATCTCAAACAGTAAGCGGACAAGCAACTTTCCAAACAGTTGAAGTAGAGAATCAAGAAAATCATGAAACTTCAAGCTTACATCAACAGCAACAGGAATCACCACAGCAACATCAACCAGATCAACCTAATCAAATCTCACAAATACAGTCTAATACTCAACAAAGTATGACATTGACTCCAATTCGATTACCAGCCATACTTGATGGAGAATTCTTTACAGTAATTAGAGTAGAAGATAGTAATGTAACAGTTCGATGTTTACAATGTCAAAAGCATTTAAATGGAAATTTAAAATCTACAGGAAATTTTTTAAGTCATATTAAAGTAAGTAAGATTTATTTATTTTTATACCATTTGAATTTTGACAAAATTATTTTATATTTATTAATCTAAGTGTTCTGCAGAGAGTACATCCTTTTATGGTTGATAAAATTAAATGTAAATCAAATCAGAGAAAACCTGCAATGATATATATTGATTTAACAGCTGATAAATGTCCAGAAATAGTAAGAACGAAAAGAGGGTATAGGAAATGTTACAAAACAGTAAATATTTATGATTTTAGTTTATGCAATATGAAATGAAATTTTATAGACACTTTAAAAAGTTATGTTTATATAGGAAGAGTGGCAACCAGGAAATGAAGAAAGCTTTGATCAGTCTAATGAATGGACTGACACTCCTGTAATTCGTAGACATAAATCAGAAGAAGCTGAATGTTCTGATCTCTTAAAAATATCACATAATAATTCATTTGTAATGGTAGATGAGTTTGATGCAATTGGGCGAAATGTTGCAGCTAAACTCAGAAATATGAGATTAGACCAAAGAATTATAGCTGAAAAGTTATTAAATGATATTTTATTTGAAGCACAATTAGGAAATCTTCATAGAGATTCTAACATACATGTATGAGAAAAACATTTTATAGATTAAGGAATGCGTGTAAGTAGATGATGTGAATATAAATGAACGAATGCATAAAGAAGCATATATTTTTTATCAAATCAAATTTATTGATATTTCTTTATTAACATTATCTTATTGTACCACTTTAATACTGGTAATCGCAAAGTGGTTTTTCTGCCAAGGCTAAGCAATCAGATACAAAATAATGTGATGTATTTTACAAACATATTTTTTAGTTTACATCACGAATATCGTGAAATGATTGCAAATCAAATTTTACTCAAATATTATTAAAAGATAAGTATTTAAACTTAATATATAAAGTCTTCAACAATGAAAACGCAAATGAAAAGATATGCATATTTTAATACTTATAAGTATTCACATAAGTATCTACAATTATCTCTGTATATAAATACATAGTACTGTAAATATTATTATACAGGTATAAAATTCACATATAAGAGAAAATGCTGCCGAATCTAGTAACTATTTGTAAAAGTTTTTTAGACGGATCATTTTTCTATAAATATTTCTTAAACATAGCTACCTGTAATTTATAGTAATTGTATGATAAATACATTTTCGAAGCGTTATCTAGTGATTAATATCAGTCCTTAGTTTCTCATTTTACATTTAAATATTGTAATTATAAATTTTAATTGTATTAATTATTCTATTGTCCTTTTATTTCGTAATAATTTTCTAATATCTATTTTGTATGTAAAACAATTCGTATAAACATGAAAAAAAGTCGTGTTAATACGATATATAGAAATTAAAGCATTTATGAAATCACATTTGAATGAATATTTTACCATGAAATAACTTTATATATTTGTCAACTGGTATATATCCTACTCTTCTTTGGTTTAAGTAAAGCACAATAAATTGTAGTTGATAAAATGCACATTGTCATACTTCCAAAAATTACATAAAATGCGTAAGTATACCAAAATCCATCCCAATCTGCATACAAGTACCAAGTTAATGTCAGAAATGTATTTTGCATTAGTACAAAAATGTAATATGGTAACACCCATTTATCTGCATATTTAAATCTGATTTTATATTCAATTATGCTAATTATGTAAACTAATCCTAACCATAGATTAAGAAGAAAAGTAATAATGTCATAATATTTTGCATAATAAAAGAGATATATCAACATGACAGCATAATGTATAGTAAGCACAATACATAAGTAAAGTGGATAAAATTCATAGAATATGGCAATAGCAAGTATACGTGCTAGAATAAAAAAAGACCACCATAGAAAACTCAAAAATTTGCCTACTGGATCATCTTCTTCTAAACCTTTTACTGAATATTTTCGTTGTGGAACTTTTAAACTTTGTATGCTACTTGTGTTTTTATTTGTTTCTGTAACAGATACTGATTTAGTAAATATTTTCTCAGATTCCGAATTTTCTGCAACTGTACATATAGAATCTGGTCTTGGTGGAGCTGGTATATCTGGTATAGGTAAAGGTGTAACTGTAGTAATTCCACGTAAAGGAGTTGGAGGTGGTGTAATGTGTACATTTTTAGGTGGTAAAGGAGGTGTTACAGATACTTGACGGTTTAAAGAGATATGAGAGCCAGGTTGTCCTGCATCTTCATTTTGAATTTTTGTAGATTCCTTTTGTTCTGCAAAATTTTCCATTGGATTATTTGTATGTATAATTTCTTCCTCTTTTACATCAAATTGTTTTAAAGGAGCTCTTTCTTCAAGATCACGAAGTTCCTAATTATAAAAGTTAAATAGATACTTTGAGAGTAAATTACTTTGATACACTTTCAATAATCATATAATATTTTATATTAAAATACCTGAACACAATATTTTTTTAACCACATTGCCCATGGTAATTTTCTACCATTAATACGTTGACTTTCAAATCTTTGAAAAGAGGTAGTTTGAATAGCAAGTATCACAATAGACATAAGAATGGAAAGCACCTTTACAACCACTGTAAAAATAATTTTAGTAATTTCATGTTTATAATTTAATTACACTTACATTGTACATAAATTAAATGAAGGTACCAGATTGATGACTCTGATGAAGTAATGTTCCACGGAAAAGCAAATGTGTTTGAAAAATTGCTTGAGGAGCTGCTTGAAACCATGCTTGTAGAAAGAAGTATAATTCTATAGCTGCAGGAGCAGCTGCTATGTTCAAAGTCTTTGTTCTCTCTTTCCCAGTTAAAATAATAGCCTCAATAGATAATACTATTAGAGCTGCATATCTAGAAAAGTATTATAAATCACATTAATGAGAATCATTAATATTACTATTAAGTTTGTGTAGAAAATAGTAATACCTATAAAGAGAAAAAAATACAAAGCACACCAGTTGACAAAGCTGAAGGCAAAACCAACAAAAGATACCTTTTGTCAGTTTATCATCATCTGTCATCCACCAATCTGGTCTTGAAATAGTTAACATAAAGTATGCAATTGCTGGAGCATACATAAAACCAATAGTACAACACCCCCATACTGGATTATTTTCTTTAAAATGTTGTATAGCAACTACTAAGTCCGCAGAAAAATGAATTACATATACCACACAGGTAACCAATGTTGGAATTAAAAAAATTAAATAAATCTGCTCAGTTGATTTTAAAGGAACTTGCAAGAAACGTGTAGACTTTTTTTCACAAACTGAATCTAAATTGTTTGCCATCTTTCGAAATCAAATAAATTCTTTTTATCTTTTCATCTTTATTTTCTTCTTATATTTCTGCCTTAATAATGGTAGTTTGTCAAATATCTTAAAATATTCATTAAGCTGAAATAAAAATAAAAATCCATAA